CAAAGAGGAATCAAGAACTATTTCAAAATTTTTTGGCCCAAACAATGAGTAAGCTTCCTTTGATAGAGATAGGAAAGACTAAAGTACAGATTGAGCATTCCTATATTTGCTCTTAAACAACTTACTTAAAGAATATTTAATTTTACTTTTGCCATTATTTATCTCTGTCTCTCATCCCTGGGCTGCTGCTGTTAAAATTAATTTGCATTTCAGACCTCGGGATTTTATATTGCTATTAGAGTTGTGAAATGTTTTTACTCAGCACAACCAAGAACTGATGTTTTACCTCCCACTAATGGACCTTTAATTAGGCACTGTAATGAACCATTCTGTTATTCCTTCATTTATATGGAGAAGATTTTGTACATGCAAGATACAATTTTGACAGAACACCAGGTCCATTGAACCTTTCTGACTCACATCTAATAGATCCTAAATTTATTACGCTTTTGTCAGCTGTTGAATTTGTCATTTTAATGACAATGTCCATAGACTTATTATGGCTGCCAAAAAACGACATCACCATATTATAAGAATGTTTGTTGACATCTTGATCAACAACTCCTGGGGTCCAATTCTGGCTGTAATATTACTGCTTCGGGACCTTGAGCAAGTTATTTAACCTCTGTCTAAGGATTAATTGGTTAATTTTAATAAGTGCTTTGCAGTAAAAGGTGGGAAGCACTCTGACTACTAATAGTGATGATAAAATTATAATGCAGCCCTTTATAAAGCATCAGGCTACCTCAGACTGTGATTCTATTAAGTTGCCAATTAAAATATAAGCTAACTAAATATACTCTTTGGAAGAATCCAAATTGCTATAAAAATTATGGCCACATAGTATTTTTTTAACTTAGTTCAAAAAGACTTAAGAATGCTGATATTCAATTTAAGAAAAAAATAAAAACTAAAAACAAAAAAGGAAAAAAAAACAACCAAAGACTGGTGTTCTTTGATGATGCAACAGTAGAGAACCAAAAGATAGAAGGAACAAACACTAGCTCTAGATTAACCACATATAGATATTCATTGGTTGAACACTGAATAAATGTAGTTTTTGTACATTAAGTTGATTGCTCTTTTAACTTTTCTTCAAATCACTTTTATTTTTTCATTTATATATTTATGCAATTGTTGATTTATTCATTTGTTTATTTGACAAGTGCTGTTGTTGGGTGTAGTCTCAAGGAGGTCCCAGACAAGTGGGAGGAGTGTTCATAACTAATAAAAATACTAAGTAAAAGTGATCAACCCAAATGCTCATCAGTACATGAGTTGATTAATAAAGTGTGGTATATGAATACCATGGATTACTACTCAGCCATAAAAAATGGGGAACTAACACCTTTTATAAAAATCTGGGTGGAAATGGAGACCATTCTTCTAAGTGAAATATCATAAGAATGGAAAAACAAACATCACATGTACTCACTATTAAACTGGAACTAATTGATTAACATGTATATGCATATATGGCCACAAAACTCAACAGAAATCAAGCAGGTGGGACTGGGGATGAGGGGCTGGGTAAATCCATACTCAATGGGTATAATGCACACTATTTGGGTGAGGGACACATTTGTAACATTGACTCAAACTGTACAAAAGCAATACATCTAACCAAAACATTTGTACCCTGTAAAATTCTGAAATAAAAAAAAGTGATGAGAACCAGAAGAAAAGCATAGAATAAGTAACTTGGAAATTCAGAGGAGGGGGAGGTTAATTCAAACTAAGTAGAGGATTTGAACAATTTTAAAAAGGAAATTGTGTTTAAGTTCAACATAGTCACAATGCCAGGGAAGTTAGCATTTATGTGGGGAAGGGTGATCAGTGTGGTTTTACTAGAATAAAGGAGAAGCTGCAAAGTTAGGATGGATAGTAATGAAAGCCTTCATTATGTGGATGGTAGTTAGTGCTGTCCCTCATTTGCATGGAAATCATTTGGGGTTGTGAGAATAGTGGAGCAGAAAAACAAAACAAAACACGAGTTAGTAGATGAAAGTTGTGCTTGGATTCTCTGCTGTGTTGAGAGCAGGGAGATGAGAGCAACAAGGATGTGAGCCATGTGTAAGCAGGGATACAAGAGTGTAACTAGATTGTATTTTCATATGAACTGCTGGTCTTTGGTGCACATGATTTAAGAGATAAGTGGGACAAGCAATGTAAAAAAGGGACATTGGCTTAGGGTAGTGGCATCTACCTATGTCAAGAAGAAACTAATTTAATATGAGAAGAAAAACACTCAGGAAAGAAAACACGAAATTAAATCTGTTTTCTTGCTGCAGCAGAAGAGACCCCACTATCAACTCAGAGGCAAGCTATTTAGTATTATGCTTAATTCTGAAAAAAATCAGTGTCTATAGCTTGATTCTATGCTGTTCCATGTGCTTCATCCAATGACCAGACACCTAGGTCACTCTTTGTGAAATCCTCGATGATATTAAGTGATCTAAGAACCAAAATGTTAAGTAACTTTCGAGGGGGTGAACTCTGAAGCTAGAGTGCCTGGTGTGTGAATCTTGTTTCTCACAATTATTAAAGGGGTGATATTCAGAAGGTTATTTATGCCTCCTCAGCATCTTCTTCTGTAAATGAGAATGAAAATAATACAGAGTTCATTGGTAGGATTAAATGATTAATAAGGCAATGCAAAAAAAAACATTAATTACTTACAAGAATCCCTGAAAGTGGAAAGATCTCAATAAAGTGAGATGGAAAGAAATTTTTAATTTGGATAAAATGTACAACTATGACTGCTCTTTTGAGAAAAGATAATAAGGGCAAAAAGAGAGAGATCAGGTAATAATAATCCAAGCAAGAGATGCTGGTGGTTTGGATGGGGATAGCGAGAATGAAAGTGGCAAGAGGTATTCAGATTCTGAGTATATTTTAAAGGTAAAACTCACAGAAAGACAAGATGTGAAACAAAGAGGAATCAAGAACTATTTCAAAATTTTTTGGCCCAAACAATGAGTAAGCTTCCTTTGATAGAGATAGGAAAGACTAAAGTACAGATTGAGCATTCCTAAACAGAAAATCCAAAATCTGAAATGCTCCAAATCCAAAATTTTTGAGCACCAAGATGATACCACGAGTGGAAAAATCCACAGCTGACATCATGTAATGGGGCACAAAATTATTAAAAACATGTCCAAAATTACCTTCAGGCTTTGCATATAAGATGTAAATGAAACATAAATAAATTTGATGTTTAGACTTGGGTCCCACCCCCAAAATATCTCATTATACATATGCAAATATTCCAAAATCCAAAAAAAAATCCAAAATCTGGAATACTTCTGGTCTCAAGTATTTCAGATAAGGGATATTTAACCTGTAAAAGAATTTTGGAGTGAGAATAGTAGTTTAATTTAATGCTAAGTCAAGCTGTCAAGCAGACAATTAGATATAAAAATCTGGAATTCAGGTGATATGTTCAGCTAGAGAAGTAAATTTGGAAACATTAGCATTTGAATGATAGTTTAAAAAACATGCATTTGGGTCAAATTATCTATGCAGTGGTTCTCAACCTTGGTCAAAAATGTGAAATATCTGGAAAGTTTTAGGTAATATGGATACCTCAATGCAGACTAGTAAATCAAAATCTTTCTAGATTATGTTTGGGAAGCTGTAGTTTCTAAAAGCTATTGAGGTCATTCTAATGTGCAAGTTGTATAGGATTCATAGACTTAAAAAGTAAGTGTTGCAGAAAAGAAAAGAGATGTGAGGACAAAGTTGTTAATAACTCCAGTGTTTAAAATTGGAGGATAGAATTTTATCTCCAGGGAGAAAACCAGTGAAATGAAAATGAAAACAAGAGAGAGGTGTCCATAAAATGAGTGAAGTGAATGTTTCAAAAATGAAGGAGTGAGTGCTTAAGTGCTGATGGTAGATGTAAAATAAGAATTGAGAATTGATCACTAGAGACAGCAACATGGAGGACACTAAACCAAATCAATGAACTTGACTTTCCTAAAAGATGTTTCAGCAAAACAATGAAGACAAAAACTGAACAGAGGCAGGGTCAATGAAAAAATAGAAACAGAGGAACTGTAGAGAATGACAACACTTTAAAGAAATACTTCTGTTAAAAACAGAGAGAGAGGGAGAGAGAACAGGAAAATCAGGTGATAATTAGGAAGAAGTGTGGGCACAAGGGAAGATTTTTCCAGAAAGAACTTGGTAGACAGGAAAATATTCATGAGGTAGAGGAAAAAGGGCACAACTGCCGGAGAAATGTCCATGAGTGGCTAAGAGGAATCAGCGCATGCTGGATAGTGTAGGATTAGAGGTAGCATGGCATTCCTATAATAAGAAGCAAGAAAAGGAGACTGGTGCAGGATACAGAACCTTGGGGGATGTGCTAGTGGGAGTTCGTCGTTTGCTTTAGGTGGTTTCTGTTTATATCAATGAAATACACAGCAAGTTCTCCAGCAGAGTGTAAACATTGAGGAGCAGTTATGAGAGGTTTGAGGAGAAAGGAGAAGGTGCGACTTAGGCATCTAGGAGAGGAGGAGACTCATGGGTTAGCGAAATACAGCAGGAACAGTAGTGAGTGCCTATTTGAGATGAGTGATAAAAATTCAGTGAGACCAGCTGGTGTGATTATGTGTTTTTCTTCAGTTGCATTCATCTCTGGGGTGCCAATTCAGCAGAGATAGAGAATTACATTTAACTACGATTATAGTTTGCCAGGGAGGCATGATAGAGGGAAAGAGAAAACAAGGAGGTTGAGCATGTACACATGAGAATAATTTTAACAATGGACCATGGAATCTAAGCTGGGGGAGTAAGAAGGTAAAATCTTTAAAATAAGAGTAGGACGAGGAATGGAAATAATTGTTGGAGTTGGGGTGACAGAAACACTGAACCTGAAAAATAGGGGGTGACTGAAATTGAGATAATAGAGGGAGGGCAGATATAGGTTATATTCTATTTAATGTAAACATCAAAGCATGGTGCCAAACTGGCTCCTGGGTGTTGCGTCGACTTACAGTACTGACATCTGTCTCCCGTGTATTCAGGCTGGCAGTGGCAGTGAGGCTGGTTCCCAGAAGTCACAATGCAGGTCCCTCCGTTTTGACAAAAATCCTCACAGACTGTCTTGCCACAGTTTGGGCCAGTGAACCCCAGTGCACAGGTGCAGGTGGGTCTCCCTGTTGGAAAAAATAGATAATAAAATGCAAATTATTACACTAAAATAGTTTATTTTTATGGAATTGTCTTTGGATAAGAATTGTGAAGCCAGTTTCTGGTAAAGGTCTGCCCATGATTTATTCTGTGATTTGGGGCAGTATCATGATCCCTTTGGGTTTCGGTTTTTCCATATATCCAAGCAAGCCTAGATTAGAAGATATCTAAGGTTCAATTAGGTCAAATTTTATGAATAAATTATACTTGCACACATGTGTGCTTAAAGTGCTTATATATTATTCTTTGTATTTCTTTTTTCATGTTCATTTTGCTTTACCAATTATTTTTGTTCTACTCAAATGCACTGATACAGACTGTATTTCCATCAGAATATGAACTATAGACAAACTTATCTCTGGTTTCAATCATTACCTATCAAACAACTGCTGAATCTACATAAAGCATTAGCTTATATGTATTATAAGTAAATTTTTTAATAAGTTTAAAGTAGGCATGTCATTTATATGATTAGATTTATTAACATTAGCTATTTTATTTGACTTAAGTACATATATTGTATTCAGTATATAAGCACTTACTAAGTCTTATTTTGTCTAATTTTGATATTTTTATTCATGAAAAGTTACTGCTACTTACAGTCTAGTAAATAATAAGATGACTTAGAAGTTTGATGTAAACAGCACCTAACAGCAAATCTGACAGATCATCTTTGAATATTTTTCTTTATTTGTTCTGTGGGAACTAACATCAGAGAGAAATATGAACAATTCTTTAAGATGTTTTGAACATAAAACAGTTAACTGTTGTGTTAGGAATAAGTCTCTCTAACTACCCAGGCTGTCAAAGGACTGAGAAGAAAATGAAGTTTATAACTATCTCTAAAGGAAAGGAGAAGAAAAAAGAAAAAGAAAAAAAAACTAATGGATATTATTTAAATGGGAAAATAATGAATTTTAAAGTTCTCAATATAAGGAAACAAAATGAAAGAGAATAAGAAAGAAAGAAAGTTATAGATTGCAATAACTAGGACTCAGATAATGTCACTCAGTTGATTATCATTAGTGAATATCCATGCTACCTCCTCTCTCCTCTTCGTAGAGATGAAAGTTTAATTAGAATGGTTAGAGAAATGCATGATGTAAGTCTTACTAAGATGAAGAAAATGTTATATATTTTTTCTATTACCATGGATCATCCATTGAAAGACAATTCTACATTTTTTGAGAAGCATTCTTAAATGAATAAAATATTTTCAAATAAAATCCACTTGTATTTCCAAGAGAATGAATAAATTGAGGCTCCACAATTTATTTAACAATTATACTTTGAAAGGACACCACATACTCAAAAATGCTAGAAATTTTTGCTCCAAATGAACAAAGCAAAGTATATTTTTATGGTAACACTGTTTTGAAACTTATCATTTATAAATGTTATTAGTTTGGTGGCAGATAAATGCCCATGAATAACCTGAGAAACAATGTACATTTTACATATATTAAAAGCTGAGCAACCTCATATTTTCTGTTGTCAGAAAATGCTTATGAACTTTTAGCGAGATATTTTCCTTACGATGGCAATGAATTTTTCTAGTTGTTGACCTAGAAACAAAATGCCTTCACTGGCACATTAATAGGTGAAAAATAAAGACATAAACTGGAGAACAAATAATAGTAGTAGATAAAGAGGTTGATAATTTTGGGAACACAGTTACTGAAGAAAACATGAGCCCAGAACAGAACCAATTCGTCTTCTTCAATTAGAGCACATGAATGATTTACAGAGAAGTAGAACAAGTACACAATACAAATTCACATGAGCTAAACATGAAATGAATAGTGCACAAAGTACAAAAGAAATCAAAGTGCATTAGAGCAATCAGAAAAAGTGCCACACAGAGGTAGGATATGAACACTGTAGATTCCTGGTTTTCTAAATTACTTTAGAGTTTTTCTTATCTTTTTTTATAAATTAGAATTGAAAAAAAATAAAATGATAGAAGTTTGATTAAATAAAATGAAACACTACCTGCTGAGGTACTTGAAAATTACTCTATCTCAGTCACTCAGAGAAATGACACTGTGTTTTTAGTACTTTTCTCTCATTTACAGCTGTTTTGAAACTAGACCAAAGTGACCGGGTTGTCCCCAGCTAGCCTGTGCCTTAGATCATTCAGATTCCAGCTGAATTATTTTCAAAAGCTCTTCCTTCTCTTCCTTTGAAGAGATTTCTTTCTGACAAGTAGAAATCTTCACATTCAGGGGAATATTATCTAACTGAAACTGTATGGCAATACTGCAGATCTTTTGTTTGCTGATGGGAAATGAACCATCTGCTGCAAAATTGTATAATGGGCTCCATCTAATATTTGCCAGAATCTCTCTGGAGGCACCCTAACGAGTTGCATTGGATTCATTTATAAAGATTTTTTAGGTGAAGAAACAGCCCTGTTATGATCATTGTGGTATAGATTTATGGCAGTGATACATCCAGGGAGCTGGGGAGTTGACAGCCTACAAGGGTAGACTAATCTGAAAGAGCATCAATTAAGCTGAGGAAGGAGGGGGAGGAACTGTTTCCTGGCTCTAAATTAGTCCAGTTTCTATAACGTCCTTAGCTCAGACATTAAGAGTGTAGGTTTTCAGACTGTCTGGATTCATAGTCCACCTGTGTCAATTGCTGGTTGCAGGACTATGAACAAATATCATTTCTGTGTTTATTTCAAAATGGAGATAATGATATACCTACTTAATAAAGTTGTTGTGTAAAATCATATAGAATAAGTGAGATAATTCATGGCAAAGCACTTCTAACTTTACCAGACACACAGGAAGCACACAGTTACATTTTAGCTCTGATTATTATCATTCCTACTGAGTGAGATTCATCAGTTTTAGGAGTGACTTATTCCATGATTGTGTGTCTACAAAGACAATGTAACAATTTAAGAAACGCATTCTTAAACTTTTATTAATTCATATGTTTTATCTCT